CCGGTGCCGGGAGGGGAGCCGGCTTCTGGCTCTCCCCTCAGATGCCGAAATCGCTCGAGAAATCCTGCGGAGAGTTTCCTGTGCGCACCCATCCCTACCGCCGAGGCAGAGGGGTTCGCCCGGCGTGTCCCTGCGCACACATTCCTCTGGAAAGAGAAGTCAGCCAAGTTTTTAAGCACTCAGAACATGTGCGGCGTGGACACCCTAGTGCAGTGGGAGCACTACAAGAACTTGCAAAGTGTGGAAATACACGAATCTCTACTTACTTACTTTTTTATTCAGTCAGGTTCAGTTCATCTACAAGATTAGCCGTGTTTCAAGTGAAATGTGCTGCTTTGAAATAATATGGATCTTAAAGTGTTAAATAGCGTGGCCTATGGGAAAAAAAAAATATATATATATATATTTGGAATCTCGGGCAGCGCGAAGACAAATTGAAAGACAAAGTAAGAGTCTGAAACTTAACGTTGTAATATTTATTTAACCATCGAAGTTAGCACCGTTCAGAGCTTTCAGCATGTCCTTTAGTTCCGTACACCGCCTCATTTTTCGTTGCATGCAAGCGTGTTCAGTCCTTCCAATAAACGTTTATATAAAGTCATTTCAAAGAATCGCCAGGATATATATCAGCCCAGCTTGGCACCTCTTGAACCTCGACTGGAGCGGTCAAAATATTTGGAGGGGTTTGAGGTTAATTACAGCTGTCTGAAGCTTTTCCAATATATTGCAGAAGTTGCAAACGAACTACGCCCGAAGTGTGGTTTTCTAGCGCGATACCGCCTGAGCCACCACCTTCCGCTGCCACCCTGGCCTCTCGGGCTGCAAAATTTTTACTTCACCCAAGAACAGAGCAGTAGCAAACCAAACAACATCAAAGATAAAATGCGGACTACACTATCGCTCGTCGCAAGTGGCATTCATTTCCCTTTCGACTCTGTTCAACAGATTATTTTGTCAAAAACCCAAATCCGTACAAAACGAGTGACACCTTAAACTGCTAAATCGCAGTACTGTCCACTCAAAAATCCCACCACGGCACCGTGCTGTTCCCAGAGCACCACCAGGGCCGTGGTAAGCCGGCTCGTTCGGTTCCCCCGACCGCGGGAAGCGCTGCGCGGGGCTGCGCGGTGCCGGCCGAAGCGG